ACTAACACACACACAAATGTTCACACAAACACTAACACACACACTGTTTCTTTCTCTAAAATACACACACACGCTCAAACGTTCAAACAAACACTAACACACACACAAATGTTCACACAAACACTAACACACACACAAACGTTCACACAAACACTAACACACACACACACGCAAACGTTCACACAAACACTAACACAAAACACACACACACACACAAATGTTCACACAAACATTAACACACACACCGTTTCTCTCTCTAAAACACACACGGGCAAACGTTTGCACAAACACTAACACACATGCAAACGTTCACACAAACACTAATGCGCACACACACACACTTTTTGTCTCTCTAAAATACACACACCAGAGGTGAGTGTTCTCGACAGACCGCCTGTAGGACACACTCCCTCTGTCCTCATGCAGCAGACGCTGTGTTAAATCTCTCACATCTACATGTTGGTTTCTGTGTGTGTTTATATAGCTGCTATCTTCATTTATACACTCCGTTTCTGCATCCGGTTTATATACACAATCAACAGCAGCTGCGCTAACTATCTTCTCTATTCTCTATTTCCACATGGGGATGCTCATCCAGAGGCCTCCAGAGATTCTGCAGGACCATTGATGCGATTAAAGACCTGTGAAGAGAGGATCCCGAAGTCTCCATAATCCTGGACCAGGCCGTATCCTGAGCTGCTGCTGTGGTGGTCATGGAGGAGTGGAGAGCATGAGACTGATTCCTGTAAGACCTCAGTGACAGACGAGTCTCCACATTGATCCTGAAGGGCCGGCCTGAACACCTGCCGGTGACCTCTCCCACCTGCAGCTTCTTCACAATGGACGTCCAGTGTTCTCCAGGCTCTGGCACCTAGACTGCAGCTCTGCACAAGACGTTTGGCCAGAGGAGAAATGGTTGTGCCCAACTGAGCCCAGTAGTATCTGGATGCAGCCTTTATGATGCAAGCTGAGATTGCATCACTCAGCCCATTAAAAAGCATTGGATGCAGCTCAGATTGCACTGCACCAAGTCTGCAGCCAGACTCCTCTCACTGATGCCTAGTTCACACTAGAGGATTTTAAGCCTGATTTGAGCCCGATGTGGAAGTTAACGAGCTCGCCGACAGATCGGGCTGTGATCGGGAAGAAATCTGCGGGTGCTCGGCGCTCGCCGCTCTTTATGTGTGAACTACTGAACAACGCATCAACGAGGCTCGCTGACGCGTCGCCGACACCTCGCAGACGGAAATCCAACATTCAGCATGCTGAATATTCCAGAGCAGTCGGCCGACTCAACCCCACGTGTGGTCAGATGTAGTGACGAGCTGCAGCCAATGAGAGAGCAGATCAGCATGAGCTGAATGCCTGTGTGTTCAGGAGCTCAGCAGAAACATCTGTGATTGGTCAGAATGGGCATCGGTGCACTCGCTTCATTCTGCGTTAGCACAGACATGAGAGTAGGATATATTAACAGTGGAACTAGAATTCTGTAACTATTAGAATTACCATACTGCTCATTCTGACCGTTCTCATATAAACACCATACTGTCACAACATATTTACATTCAAAGCTATTATTGAGATATTAAAATTACGCTTTGAATGTCTGGCATCATATTTAATGACACCATTACCCTAAAAATATCATCTTTTTTGTTAATACAGCCTATAAATATGTAGTTAAGATACTAAAACACTTAAAGGTCTTGGCTTTCATTTTCACTGTCAAACAGGAGCTATTTAACAGCACAGAATATGCAGTTTTGAAAGATATCTGAAGTAAATTGATGTTTTTGCCATCAGAAAGTTTTGTTTATGTTAGCAGGAAGTTGCTAGGCAAAAAAATGCACACATATTTAAAGTCACAGTGAAAAGTATCAGACATGCATGCAGTCATTTTGACCAATATGGTAATTTAAGGCAGAAATGCTCAGTTCTTTACTGTTTTGTAATAAAAATAATAATAACAATGTCAGAAAGAAATACACTGATAGTTAGAAAATGGCAGGGTGTTATAAATATGTTAGTTTTATTTCAAAGAGTTATAAAATTACAAAAATTAAAAACTCTCTGTATATCTATCCACTGGAACCTGCAGATGAGTGATTAATGCGCTCATAGATCAGCTGATTTGACGATGTTTTTAAATGCTTTCTCCAAAGCTTGAAACGCTGTCAGTGATGTCATCAGCACACAAGCAGCCAATAGTGTTCAGCTTTTTTCTGACGACTCCTCCCTCAAATTTTCATTGGCTGTGGTTTGGTAGCTTGAATGAGCTGATGGGGAATGAGTTGTTGTCAGATCATGTAGTGTGTGACCCCCCTCTTGTGGATCATTCACAGAGTGTTGCGTAGTGTGAACACCACAGAGATCAAAAGACACAAAGTCAAGTCATGTAGTGTGAACGGCACAGCGATCTGCTGATGTTTAAAATCCTGTAGTGTGAACTAGGCTTAAGCCTGGTCTCTCTCCTTCACTTTGGTCAACTGGTGAAGTTTGTTCCTCCACTTTCTCCACTGGTCTGCTTGGTTTGGGTCTTGTGGATCTGTTGGATGGATCTGCTCTTCAGTGTTTGGACTCTCAGCGGTGAAGATTAAAGCACACTGCACTGAACAGAACTGAACTTCAGCTCTGAACACTGGACTGACACAGCTTCAGTTTACTAGAACTTCAGTGTTCAGCTGCTGCCACAATCTACTGTAGAGGCGCTGGAGGAACACTGAGGAGCTGAACTGAATGTGTGATAAACTCTGCTCTATGAGTTAATAAAGTCCTCATTCAGATCAGTGTTGATCCAGCTCACGTCACTGAACACACATTAACTCAAAACACGACTAAACTCATTCCCTCTGCTGCGCGCTGAACAGATTTATAACGCGGTAAATGTTCAAGCTGCTGTTGAAGTAAATAATGAGGCATGTGACTCCGCGCGCAGCGTAACCCTCAGAAAGAAACTACATTTCCCAGAATACAGCGCGCGCTCTACTTCCTCAGCCGCAGCGCAGAGTCTCCGCACTCAAACAGCACCAAACCACTGTGTGTGTCCTAATTATCTCTCACAATGAGAGAAACACACTCCATATTTCAGCTCGGGAATAAATGAAGCCCGTTTCTAAGGTAAGGCGCGCCGCTGCGCGGACTGTTTCTCTTGCTGATGTTCGGCTGCTGTCATGCTAACGCTACGTGGCTAATAACGTCCACAGTTCCTCAGAAACCTCATTAGTCGCGCGTTAATCGAGTGGTTAATGAGTTAAATCGCTGACACGCTCCAGGACTGTGGCTTTAGGCTGTTTTTGGTGGATCGTCATGAAATGCTGTGGTTAAAGCTGTCAGTGTTCATGATGTTAGCAGTGCTAGCGGATCTGAGCGGGATCTCTGACTGGATACTTTCACAGAGTCATAAAGCTCTGTTTATTATGCACACACGGATCAGTAAAGTTCACGTGTACATCTGCTACTGGATGAAAAGCGAGGAACATGAGTGATTTAAACGTTTAATATACAGTGAAGCAGCGTCATTTATGATGGACATCACGTGACTGACTGACACATTGCCGAATGACTGACTGAGTGTGTGTGTGACGGACATCACTGAATATCACTAAATATCTGACTGACATCACTAAATAACCGACTGACATCGCTGTATGACTGACACATCACTGACTGCATGACTTTCCGACTGACTGACACGTCACTGAATGTCAGCTGTCCTCTAGCTGTTGTAAATAAGACTCATTTCTTATTTCTATTGATATAAGAGCCTCTTTCTGGGGTTGTTCCTACTATGGCTGTGTGATAATGTGGAAAAACGCAATATCTTGCTAAATAATGCAATATTCAATATGTGATTTAATATATTACAAAGATAACCAACATATGTTTGATGGGATTTAGTGGAGAAGAAAGTCAAGGTCAGCTCTATTGTCAAATCTGCCACATGCACAGACACACTAGGCATGGGCCGGTATATGATTCTGATGGTATAACCTTGGGTAAAAATATCCAGGTATTGTGATCACCGCTCTAAAATAGATTCTTTTTAAAAGTCTGGGGTAAAATACAAAATGTTTTTCCCCTTTGAAAACAATATATTTAATTTTTTGAAACATTTATGATGTTTTGGAGCAGTAAACATGTCAGTCTGAATAATCCAAATGAATGGTTGACTTCTGTCGTCTTCTTTAGTTTAAAAATACTGATTTCTTTACAATTTAAAAGGGCATCTTTTGATATTTTTTCCGCTGGAGATCCTGCTGTTCTAAAAAGCAACACAACAAAAAGTTAATAAAAATAGTACACATACTTTAAGAACGGTATAACAGAACATTGTGGCGGTTCACTATACAGAAACACAGAGAGTTAAAATGAAGTTACTCTAAAAGTAGACACAAACATCACCTATATGTAAATAAATGGCATGCTTACTATGTTTACAGTATATATAATAACTTATATATAATTGTAACTATAACTTAATCTGATTGTAATGCAATTATATACACCTGTCGTAAAGCTGATTTGAAACAATAATTGTAAAAAGCACTATACAAATAAACTTGAATTGCTTTAAATCAGACCCTTGGTGCATAAAGATACAAGAAGATTGTTAATATATAATAAATGCAAGTAAAAAATCAAGAGAAAAAATACAAAATGATATCAAAATAGTAAAATACTACATTGTAAAACCCAATAAGTTAAGGTAACTCAAACCATTTAAGGAAACTGATAGCAGCAAACCATTTAAGCTCAAAAACTAATCCTAATGAGTACTGTGAACTTACTACATTTGAGTAAACTGAGCAATTTGAGCACAGTAATTTATCATTTACATGATAAATGAAGAGAACTCAAACCAACTGAGTACTGTAAAACCCAATAGGTTAAGGCAACACAAACCGTTTGAGGAAACCGATT